TTATTCTGATACACCTCTCAGAGTTTCAGTGTAATGTCTATATTACATACAAAAATACCTGATATCCACATTTCAGCATAGCTTTTCCACCATCCAACCTGTCCCTTTACATACAGGTGATGTATGTCACAGAACACATATGTAATTTTAATTGAGAGGAAGGTTACTAAGTTTGTAAACCATCTGAGGTATCATTTACAGAGACCAGAATGGAGAATTAAGATAATTTTTAAGATGATTAGAGTAGAAAGCCCAATGATGCCAGTGGCATGAAGGATTCAGATGAAGCCACCCTCAGTGGACTGAATGGATCTTCGCTGACAAAACTTTTACTATGGTCTCAATTTGCCAATATTAGAAAGATCCCTTTCTAAAAAGCTGATCAATTTACACAAAGGTGGACTTCTTAAAATTTAAAAATCAGCAAGTACATATCTCCAGATATGGCGATGGAACAGAAACACCAATCCATGTTTTCACTGCATTCATGTGCATAAATCGAAACTTTCTGTGTAGATATGGAGGATTATTGTAGGCTGGGAATTTACCCTGGCCAGTGTGTGCAACAGCTAGGAAGGTGATGTTTCTTCTCTTGGTACACAGAGTATTCTGGGGTTTGTGGGATCTTTTTCTTCCTCTTCTTGCTCTCTCAAATGCAGCACACCTATGTTTAAAAGCAGGCTTTTTGGTCTGGCAGCTGCTTCTTGGTCCCTGTACTCTGGACTTGAAAGAGGAACACCGGGACCTGGAGACAGTGGCTGCACATCTTCAACTGCTCCAAGCCAAGTAATCCTCAGCTCACATCTCAAGCTTCCTGCCTGCGACCAATGTCCACAGCCTGCAGGTTCCTCCTTTAGGAGGATTCTGAGCATGCCACTCTATGGGGAAAAAGGGGACTTGACAGCCCTTGACAACCTGAGGCTAGGTTATTCATCAAGCCCCAGGATCTGAATATCTCAACCATGAAAATTCAGAGAATGAAGACAGGTGAAAGCATGGTGACTGGAAACTGGAGTTCAAGGCTTAATAGTTTATGTTGTTCCCATTTGGGTTCAGGTATCTTGAGGTGTAGTGCTTAATAGCTGTGGCTGACTAGCTGGAAAACAAGGTGATCTAACCCATGGTTTATACTATGCAGTAAATAGGAGCATAAAATACTTCAATGAAAGGTGTCCATGCCACAGTTGAAAACAACTGTCACTCTTGAGTCCCACTAAATGGTCTACATTTGACTCTTCAGCTTCAAGCACACACACGTGTACATATGTGTGTGTGTTTGTGAGTGGATATTATATGGTAAAAGGGACCCTTTCCCATGACCTTCCATTTGACTTCCTCCATGTTGAACTAACTGAGCTCTAACGTGAAGGAGCACAGGTGACTATATGGGTGCTGATTCATGCTGGGTGAGTCTGTGTTGTCCACCAGAAGCTTCTTCAGGATCATGGTCAGCTTCTAGCTCCATTTAGGCTGATCTGGCACAACCCAATACTCCCTGTTTGCTCTCGGTCCCTGCCCCATGTTCCCACCTCAGGAAAGGTTCTGATTTGTATGTTCCTTAGTGATGCTCCCCACAACAATGGCAATTTCTCCCAAACTATGCCCCCACCAAAGTCTCGATTTGCCAGTGGTTGGGAGGCAGCCTGCTGAGTAAACTCCTCCCCTTCAGTTCACACTCCTCACTTTCAGAAAGTACCTCCATTATTTCTTTGATATTGAAGCTCCAAAACAAGATGGAACTGAAAACATGTCCTAAAAGGAGCCAGACTTCCTGGATAGCTTGGCTGTGCGTCCATCAACCATGAACTCTCTTCTGTCCTCAGAGTTGTTCTGTGCTACCTTCCCACTAAGCCCTCTGAAAGGCCACTGGCTAACCAGGGAGCTCTTCCTAAAAGGCACCAGCTGTCCTGCAAACTCCTTTTGCAGTTAAGGCCTAGGTATTCTGCTTCATTCTCCAGTTAAGTTGAAGCTCTCTGCAGTCCCTGGCTTCAGCTCTTAAGTGTCATTTTAAATACTTATAAAACCAATCCAATACCAGCCTCTGAGGTCACCACTATACCACCTGCAATTTCAGCCCTGTCTGTGGCATGCAAGAGATAGGAGAAATTTCTGGCTGCTGCTTCATGGCTAGAAGAGGCTGAGTTGTCAAGTTCCCATGCATGAGAATCTAAAATAAGAGAGCAATTGAATGAAAACAATTCTCTTTTGAATAGCTCAGTTGTCAGCCACTGGGAGTAAGGGTGACTTGCTGCACATGCTTCCTACTTTGGGCCTTTCAAATTCCATTTCTTAGGGATGCAAATGGCTCAGTTAACTCATAATGAGACAGATTAGTCCAGTGTCTGCTTTTCCACCTATAGCATCTTATTAAATAAAAATGTCGCATTTTGCTAATCTGAAATTCTTGCTTTGAGATGATGATTCATGATGAGTCTAAATATTTTTATTTAAAAATTATACAAGAATCACTTTTTTCCTCTTAGCACTTTGATTTTTCAATAGCTATAGTTTGTTCATAGTAGCTGCTTCTTGGGCTCTGGAACAGTCATTTATTTTTGTGAATTCTGGGGCGAACCCATTGTTTTTCCCACAAATGCACACCTGTGAAGTTGGTTATGTATGGATAATTTATATGTATTGCTAAATTGAAACATCATTGAATTTTCTTTTTTTTTTTTTTTGGTAAAATGGAAAGTTTAATTAGAAGCTATTTCCTGGGCAATTTCCCTTCAGCGCAAATGTAGATGGATTCTACCTTTGGATTCAGTTTGGATGGTACATTGTGTTGACTACAAAGAACCTGCATAATCACTGCTACCTGGGGGAGTTCTGCCCTCACCAGTGTACTCCAGGAGCTCCCCAGGATTCTTAGCAAACAGAGGACAAAAATAAATGTGTGTGTTCACAACTTTCCTCCAAGTTGTTTTAAACTTCACATAGAAAAATGTAAAGAGATGACCCTCCCTCACTGGATATCAACATTTTAAGCAAAACCCCTGTCCCAGTCATACACAAGAAAGTTCAACAGCTAAAGGTAGGAAAAAGAAAGTGAGAATAAGCTTCTTAGATGCTATCACTAAAGAAAGAAGTGCTCAAAACTTGAAAAACCTGACATCCTGTATGGAGATCCAGGAAATGACGTGACGCGGGCAAATCCCAGGGAATAAAACTCATTTGTAAATCACACAGATCTCAAAGACTGAAATTTCTTCTCTTCGTGTTTCAAAAAAAAAAATTCCAGAGGTCAAAGGAACAGGTGCAGGTGGAAATGTATATAAAAATACTGAGCAGTGCTCCTAAAAAATAAGGAAAGCTACATTCAGTCACTTCTCATGTGTGTCCAAACCCAGGCCACGGGCTGTACCTGCCTACTGTGCTTTAAAAGGTCTAGGAACAGGAAAATCAACATCCAAATCTCTCCTCTCTATACACAGCCATTCGCCCATGAGATGACTAACAATGTCTGTGGGGTCGGGTTTACTCTACCTGCATTGAGCTGGTACCAGGCTGTAGGAAAAACTGTTGTCTTAGAATTCCTCCAGTCCCTACATGTAGCTGTTTTAGAAGCATTTCCCAGCTTAAAACCCAGCTGATGTAACTCTCCAGGCCTGTGAAACATGCTTAGAAAGGGCTCCCTCCAGACCTCCACGAACTCAGCTTTGTGAAGTCACCCTATTGCTGATCAGACTCACTGCTCCACCGTTCAGAAAACAGAAGGCATAAAGGTGAATACAACATAAGAAATGAGTTTACATCTGGTCCTGCAGTCTTTCCATATAGTCTCTAAAGTCCTGTGGGTCCCCCAGCCCCATGTCCTGGAAGACCCACTTGATGTTGTCATCACTGTCAAACAGGATGGAGTTGGTGTACGAGCCCCCATCCTCAGGGAGGATGGTGGTGTAGGAAGTAAACTTGACCCTCTTCCTCTTCGGGCCAGAAGAGTTTACAGGTTCATTTTTTATCTCTTTCTCATAGACAAAGTCAGAAGGTCTGAGCAGCTGACTGTGGAAGGGCTTCTGGGAACCTCCGTTCAGCAGGAAGTTTCTCTCCTCAAACTGCAGCCCCCTGTCTATCATGGTCGTGCACTCCTCTGAGGGGAGTGTGATGTCCACTGGGTTCTCCAAAAGCTCCACCTCATTCCCAAGCCAGACCCAGTCATGGGAGTGGGGTATGTTGCCCTGCTCGCTCACCGCAAGCCTTTTGTGTCTGTACTTCCAGGCAAACGCCTCGCAGTTGATCAGGAAGACCAGGATGGCCAGGCAGAAGATGCAGAGCAGGGTGTACATGCTGATCTCCAAGTCTGTCAAGCCCCTGGAGGCCACTGTAAGGTCACTAGGGTTACTGGATTCTAGAAACTTCCCCTGGGTGGGGAAGCTGGTGAAGGCATCTGCACCACCACTCTTAAGTAGCTTCTTGTCCTTCCCCTCCCCAGGCAGCGGCAGGGTTGTGCTCCTGTTGGTCCTGTCCTCTGGGCTAGCAGGGCCCCCACGCTGGAGCCACTCCTGGACTGCTCACTCCTGGCTCCCTTCCCGCTCTATGGAGTTGCTCAGGTGATCTTTGTATTCCCAGTTCATGCCCTCAATGTCATTGCTGCCTCCTCGGTGCTCCTCCTCCATGCCTGGTGCAAACCTGACCTTGAGGCTTCCTTTACCCACAGCAAGAACACTCTTCCTCTTGGTCTTCTGGCAAGGTTCTCTGATCATCATCTCCAACTTTATCAGGGGTCCTGGTCCTTCGCCCTCTGCAACCACAACCGGCCACTGGGACTGCAAGTTTGACTGGACAGACACCACCATTTCATCCAATGATGAGACAGTTATTGAAAAATCCTTGGGATTATAAATGTCTAAAGGTGTCATGGAGCCATCACTGAACAAAATCCAAGAACTGACTATGGCTTCCTGAAGGAAACGAAATCAAAGCATGATCAGCTGCCTTCAAGTTTACAACATAAGCAAGATTTTTTATATAAACGCTTTTAAGTATATGTAGAAAAAAATCTTCCGTTTTATAATCTTTACCAGTTCTTGTCATGCCTTGAACTGGCATCAATAATCTGCAGGAGCTCCACTGGTAT